CAGCAAACAGTTTAGTCAGCTGGGTCATCTGAAAAAACACATACGTACTCACAATGGTGAAAAACCTTACAGGTGTGAGGAGTGCAGCAAACAGTTTAGTCAGCTGGGTCATCTGAAGAAACACATACGTACTCACACTGGTGAGAAACCCTACAGGTGTGAGGAGTGCGGAAAGCAGTTCAGTCAGCCGAGTAATCTGAAAATACACATGCGGACTCATACTGGAGAGAAACCCTACAGGTGTGAGGAGTGCAGCAAAAAGTTTAGTGAGTCGGGTTCTCTGAAGAAACACATGCGTACTCACACTGGTGAGAAACCCTACAGGTGTGAGGAGTGCAGCAAACAGTTTAGTAAGTCGGATACTCTGAAAAGGCACATGAAGACTCATACTAGAGAAAATCTACAATTGTGAGGAGTGTAGCAAACAGTTTAGTCAGCTGAGTCAAATGAAGGAGCACATGCGTACTCACACTGATGAGAAACCCTACAGGTGTGAGGAGTGCAGCAAGCAGTTCAGTCAGCTTGGTAATCTGAGGGAACACATGCGGACTCACACTGGTGAGAAGCCTTACAAGTGTGAGGAGTGCAGCAAACAGTTTAGTAAGTCGGATACTCTGAAAAGGCACATGAAGACTCATACTAGAGAAAATCTACAATTGTAAGGAGTGCAGCAAACAGTTAAGTCAGCTGAGTCAAATGAAGGAGCACATGCGTACTCACACGGGTGAGAAACCCTACAGGTGTGAGGAGTGCAGCAAACAGTTTAGTCAGCTGGGTTCTCTGAAGAGACATATGCAAACCCACCCTTGTGCTGCGAACAGTTCAGTAACCAAACGACATTGACATCTATGTGGAAAGTCGGCATTAAGATATATCCAGTTGAAGTGACGCCCTTGAATACGACGTCACTATGCGCGCGGTCCACTGTTTGATAATATCACGTAGAGACTTACACGACTTCAGTGAAAATGTTTGACTCAGGATAATTAAGAGAAGTAGTGAACCGTTTGACAGTATGAAAGGTGACATCTCTTGTCATTCTAACCACTTGGACTTATCTATGTAAGTTAATAAATAAATAACCAACTTTTGTCATTAGCTTTTGTAAAACTGACCTAGTACAAATGCGTTGACCTTTCCTAAATTGTCCATGTTTTGTGCAATTTCTTATTACGTATTTGTTTAGATGTATTATGTTTAAAGTGTTGAATAAAAAGTTTGAAAATTTTAACTACTGGCATCTCGACTATTCTCTATATATAAGGCCACATTAAATCTTATGGATGACATCCGCGCGCGCATTGATTTTCGCCTGTTCTACAAAAACTCCTTCGAGGCTCTGGCCTTCGTGCCAACCTCCGTAGTCCATAGTAACTAGCGCTAGCGGCAGTAGGCGGTCCGCGGTGCAATTTTCCGTCTCGTAAACGGTCGATGCCATTTTTAACCTTTGTTGAATGGTCGATGCCACATCCGAGCGTACCATAATTTTTTTGAGGTCCAAAAACGAATAAGAGGTAATATATACTATACAAAACAATACGCCAAAAAGCAGTTGCTCAAGCAACTGGATATATGATTTTGAAAACGTCAGACGTTTCAGCTATTCTCCACTAGCTTTCGCCAGTGACTATTTCAGTCCTCCTTAGAGACAGGCATTGTGCCTCAAGATTGGCGTACAGCAAATATCACCCCTGTTTTCAAGAAAGGGGAGCGATACCGCCCCGAAAACTATAGACCGATTTCACTCACAAGTATCCCATGCAAGATCATGGAACACATTGTAACCAGTACAATTATGTCATTCGCAGAAGGGAATAATATCATCTGTGAGAATCAGCACGGATTTAGTCGCGGCCGCCATTCGTGCGAAAGTCAACTTCTCGGTCTGGTGGACGACCTGTCAAATGACCTTGAACAGGGAAAGCAGACGGACGCCCTGATCACGGACTTTAGTAAAGCTTTCGACAAAGTCTGTCATTCCTTGCTTATCCATAGACTCAAGCATTATGGCATCACAGGACCACTGAACACATGGATCCAGAACATCCTGGCTGACCGTACGCAGGCAGTTGTAGTGGAGGGCTCGACCTCAAACCCTGTTCCTGTGGAGTCGGGTGTTCCGCAAGGACCAGTTCTTGGTCCGAGTCTCTTCCTTCTCTACATCAACGACTTATATTACTTACTAATTTGTCCTCCATTGCTCGACTCTTTGCCGATGATACATTGGCCCATAATACCATCTGTTCAGCCAGTGACCAGGAACTCCTGCAGGTAGACCGTGAGACCGCCTTGCAAAGTGGGAGCAGACCTGGTTAATGGAGTTTCATCCTGGGAAATGTCAGTCTCTGCACATAACTAGGAAGAGAGCCCCTCTAACCACTGAGTACCATTTTCATGGTCACATACTTAGCGCCGTTAGGAGGCCAAGTATTTAGGTGTTACTATCACCAACAATCTCACATGGAGCACTTACATTGGGAACATTGTGAACAAGGCCAGCAAAAGCCTCGGATTGAGTGAGGTTTGAAGTTAGTGGCTATGTTGAAGTTTTGGAAGATCCGTCGGAGTTTCTCAGATACTCCTTGGACATACGGAATAGTGATGTTGACCTTGTTTTTGTTGGTCAATTGTTTGCACTTCTGGGTTTTGTTAGACTGATCCGAAGGTTTGAGCGCGTTGTTGAAAGTCCAGTTTTGGTAGCCACACTTATCCAACACTTACATGTAAGCTCCTGTTCTGTATAACAGTAAGCTCCTGTTCTGTATTACAGGAGCTTTCTGACTAATTTGCATTATCTTATCTTGACTTGTCTGACTTTTGTTCCTTTTCGACTTTCAAAAATTTGTCTTTATTTGCATATCAATCAATAATTTATGCTTATAAACCTGCATTTCCCCTCTGGTCTCTCAGTCACTGACGAAAGCTAGTGGATACTAGCTGAAACGTCTGACGTTTTCAAAATCATATCCAGTTGCTTGAGTAACTGCTTTTTGGCGTATCGTATTACCTGGATGTCTAACCTTCATCGACGTTAAGTTGATAATATATAATCCACCTCATGTTAAAGATATCAGTGTTTTTCCAAAGAAGCTAATCTTGTGACATGTGCCCCTGTCTATCAAACCTGGCATGCCCGGCCAATTAGTCACCCTAGGGGGCAAACACTGTTGTTGTTGTTGTTGTCCTGAGCAAACTATACGTAAGAAATGTGAAATTATGCCACAAATGTGTTGAAAAGTGATAGTAAATGGTGATAACACTGAAATTTAGTATAATGAGAATATTTCAAATTTTTGCGTAAAACGACAATGCAGCTTTAGAAAATTTGAAAGTCATGTTACTTTTTCAGCTGTTTGTAATGTATGTTTGTTTGTTGTATGCTGACTTGCTGGATGGCTGGTTTCTTGTCAAGTTGGTTGTCGGTGTAGAAAGATAAAGGTTTACTGAGTTAACGTTGACCCGGGCAAGAACCACAGACTCCACTATTTTCACCCACACCGCCATCTAATAACGGGAGGGGTCCTTATTCTGACCTATGTTCCAAGCATACGCACATACCTTTGGTAATACAGTAGTTTATCTGACCAAAAAACCCGCGCAACATGAGCTATAATATTGACAGATAAAGATCACAACGATTAAAGCTACACAGATGTGTATTTCACTTCAGTGTAGCGCCTTGCTAGCCTGGGTGCCATCCCCAGTAGTATATTCGCCAGCTCTATAACTCCAGTTATAGAGCTGGCGAATATACTACTGGGGATGGCACCCAGGCTAGCGCCTTGCAGCCAAGAGTAGGTTTCCAGCCAGCTTCCGACAGAATTTTGGTTATTGTCCGTCGACTGTATAATCTGGGTAGAAAATGTAGTTAAACGTAAATTTTGGATACGAAAAATGTAGTTTTTCTTGCAGTTTTTTCAACGGACCTGCTTGGAAAAAACAAAGTTTCCCAGGCTAACGACTTATATGCTGAAATAGCTTACTACTTCCTGTTTCTGAAAAACAGAAAAAAAATAGGTTGTTGCGATAAGTTTTTCGCAAAATCCCGTGACGCGAACCCCTTGAAATTCCACATAGAACGCAGCTATTTGGGTAATCAGGCGACAAACCGCATCACCCTTGCTCGCGGACTGATACCAAAAACGCTTCGCCGGCCGTCCAATTTCACCGCGCCGAAAAACACTACAATCCCAAGGTTTTTTGATCAATTCAAAACCTAGTTGAAAATCTACAGCGATCACCGAGCTATGGGGAGCCAAACCTAGCGTGACAACCTCGCAGATCCGGCGATTTATTGCGCACTTACTTAGACTCTGGTCAGATTTAAACTCCGACCCGGAACCTACAGAATTGCCATCATTCACCACGAAATCATAATTTTCGCAATAATTATGCAAATTAGGTCACCATTTGCATAATTTGTACCTGTTGACGTTCTATCTGCCATAGATTATATATATTACATGTATGAAAGTAGTATAATGTAAAACACTGTAATTATAGAATTTCCTCATTTATTATGAAAATTAGGTTCTCATTTGCATAATTTGCATTTAATCGTGTACATCTCTCTCTCAGCTACCTACCTGCCAAAAATGATGAAAATATGTTGTTCCTATCTGGACTTATTGGCTTTTAAAGATTTCGCCCGAAAGTCCCCTGCAGTTCCAGAACAAGCTGGTAGGGGGTTCAAACCCACACCACTTATTTCTGACAGGAAAAGCTATCTGTCACCAAAAATTCAAGACCATAGCATGTTCAGGACAAAAGATACAAAAACCGGAAGTTCTGCTGCAGTACCAAGGTCATCCACCAGGAGGCCCATATTTAATCTTGACCTTCGTCTTCCTAAGACTTACCAATATACCAAATATCATCACAATCCATAAAGGCGTTCTGAAGTTATGATGACCACAAAGTTGCGGAAACACACAGACATACAGGCACACAGGCACACAGACACACAGACAGACACGCCAAAAACAATACCTCCATTTTTCATGGAGGTAATTACTTTTGCTGGTGTCTTATGCTGGGCGGCATGTAGTCGAAAGACACAATTATAAATTTTCATTAATTGATTAGATGATTGATTGATTGATTGATTAATTATGTAATTCATAATTTTCTTACATCAGAGCCCGTCACCTTTTCTTGATGGCGAGCCGTATGAAAACGGGTGTTTCTCTAAATTCAGTGGGTAATATTGTCAACAAAGACAATAAAGACTAGAAGGTCGTAATTTGCTTTTTCCAAGTAATCATTTTGGGGGTGGATCAAAAATTAAAGACGCTTACAATATAGATATCATTTCATTCTAAGCCATATCACTTGTTTTGATTTTACATGTTTTTAGATTCTCCACCGTGACCTGGCGACCCGGAACGTGCTTGTGTCCGCAGACCGGACCTGTAAGGTGTCAGACTTCGGCTTCTCACGGGAGGGGGATGAGTACGAGAGGACCACCAAGGTTTCTATTGTAGTTCTCACTCTCCTATATCTATTCATTCTTGTAAACCCTCGAGTCTCAGTAACACCCAAAAGTATCTCGACGATTTAATGTTGACTACTGTAGATAACTTCAGCACATTCACAGCGCCTGCAATTACAAGATGGTGTTTAATCGTATGACAGTGAAACTACAACCATAGGATGGTCAAGAAGGCGCTGAGTTAAGTTGTTCTGTACTTTGTCTGTATCTGTATAGCCGGTATAACCGCCCTTCAGCATAACACACCAGCTTCTGTATCTGTATAGCCGGTATAACCGCCCTTCAGCATAACACATCAGCTTCTGTATCTGTATAGCCGGTATAACCGCCCTTCAGCATAACACATCAGCTTCTGTATCGGTATAGCTAGTATAACCGCCCTTCAGCATAACACATCAGCTTCTGTATCGGTATAGCCGGTATAACCGCCCTTCAGCATAACACATCAGCTTCTGTATCGGTATAGCCGGTATAACCGCCCTTCAGCATAACACACCAGCTTCTGTATAGCCGGTATAACCGCCCTTCAGCATAACACATCAGCTTCTGTATCTGTATAGCTAGTATAACCGCCCTTCAGCATAACACATCAGCTTCTGTATCGGTATAGCCGGCATAACCCCCCTTCGGCGTTTCGCAGGCAGGCGGCGCGGCGGCAGCTAGTTATATCAAACTGAACGACTTTTCACACTCAATCTTTGCACGTTTAATTGCAGAAATTGGTTAAAGCTTTCTACTGATGATAGCAACGAGTTACACTCTAGGATGGGCATCTCGTATTTGATGCAGTATCCATTTTTTATTGTTTGTCCTACCCCAGACCCGTCTGCCTATCCGCTGGATGGCTCCCGAGTCGCTGTTCCACCGGAAGTACACCACCAAGACGGACGTCTGGGCCTTCGGAGTCCTGCTCTGGGAAATCGTCACTCTCGGTGGGTTGATACGGTTTCATCATCAATAATTGTAATGACATTCATATAAAACCAAGTATACTCTCACAGGCTTTACATCCATAAAGTGATAGATCACCAATTGCGACTATTCTTAAAATTGCAACAATAAAAAACATAAAAACTACTTTCATTTGTTTGAACAATATTAGCAACTATGCCTTGTAAATTAGGTATACGTATTACTAAGGAAAGGTGAAACAAAGAAGGCACGCTGCACTTATCATTATATGTCTTATGTTTTTCCTCCAGGTGCGACTCCGTACCCCGGCATGTCCAAACGCGAAGTTATGGACGGGGTTCAGCAGGGATACAGAATGGACAAACCAAAGCACTGCGATCAGAAACTGTGAGTCGTACTGCTTCTGCTTTACCATTAATATCAACTGTTGTTCAGTCTACTTGATTATACGGTCATTCAAGAAACTGGGCTTAGCAAAAAGAGAGCTCGAGGTTAGCAATGCGTTAATTCAATTGTATCTTTCGATGGGTACGTTCACGTTTTATACAAAAAAGTGTTTTCTTGAAGCTTAAGGAGCCAGACTATTTGTTATCAATGAACACTATTCTACAGCTACACCCTGATGCTGAGCTGCTGGAATGCCGACCCCGCCCAGAGGCCAGAGTTCCGCAGGATTCAGCGAACCCTGGATACACTCATGGAGACCGAACATGTGAGCGGATGGAAATTTGCAATTTCATTTGAAAGAGAGAACTAAGATGTGTCCAGCTTTTGGCAAATTGTAGAAGCCATCCGTGTATGCTGTAGACTGCACCTTCAGAATGAAAACGTTCTATTCATTTGTTTCGTGTTCCATGTGACAAAATTATCTTTTTCCTTTTTATCCTCACCCAGGACTACATCAATCTGGCCAATCTGGATGAGAACACCTACCACAGCTTGCAAACCGCTACGGATGAGAAATACTGAAACAACATGAGTTACAACTTGAAGCTTTTCGTTAAGTCCAAAGCTCTTCAAATGTACTCATGATTTCCATATGCATTGTGGGCTTGTCTTGATTATGAGCAAATTCATCAAAGAACCATGCAGTTTGA